ATAAATAATATATTTTTTTATCGAAAAGATTCGAACATGTCAAATCTACCTAGCTTCGCCCTGGTATGCAATGGGCAATCTCAGTAACATGCTTCTATCAAAGCAGTAAAACTCGACCATCGTCTCAGTAAAGTAGCTCATAGATATAGAATACGAACGATTAACAGTTCTTGCTAAAAATAAAGGTAGGGTTGTTCGCAATCGAATTGAATAATACAAATTGAAAAAAAGTTATTGATTTATTGATAATGAATTATTGGTTTAGTAGTTTAGACAACGATTTTGATTTTTTTAATTATCGGTTCTTAACAGTTTAAGAATTTTTCTTAGTAGGTTAACCATAATCTGATAGTAAATTAATAAATTATATTTATCATTCGATATATAAAGTCTTTGATTTAGGATTTAGTTTCACACTTTTATTTTTGGTTGTCTCAACTCTCAGTTATTTTACAGTGTAGTAGTGTTTGCTTTTGAACAAGATGCAATCTATCAACTCATGTACCTAGTTCATTTGGTTTGTCACCTTGATTCCAAGTGATCTTCAATGATTATTTGGTTTAATCGATTATGTTGGTTATAAAAGTTAGACCAACATTATAATGATCAATAAACGATAAATCAATATCTTAATGATTATATAATAATTTGACATGTCTATAAATTAATAATCAACAAATTAAATCGATAAAATTCAAAATCAAATCGCATCGACCACACAATTACTTACCTCACATTTGTGGTGGGCCCAACTCCCAGGTAGGGGTGGTGGCCCAAACTCTGCAATATTATCTCTAGCTATTAATATCCACAAATTAAATTGACTCTTAATTTATTTGGACATCAAAAATCAACATCAAAATCGACGAGATTCCTTGATTTTCGTAAAATAAAATAAAATTGGAGGACTTTTTTTCTTAATTTTAGTATAATTTTAAATTTGCAAGATTCCTTGATTTTCGTAAAACAACATTTTCATTCTTTTAGTACTTATAATTCTACAAAACTAATACATAAATAACGCTGTTCTTTCCTATTTTACCCTTTTTTAACAACCAACTATTATGATTTATGGTCACATCACACACGTATAGACTTCAAAGGTAATGTTTATACAAGTTCCATTCTAGTTGAGTCTACTGCCAGAATAAATAAAATAATTTTTTTTAATTTAAAATTTTTAATTATTTTTTCTTTTAACAACATTAATCTCTCCTCACATTAGCAAAATAAGTAAAAATGTTAGAAATACTTAAATCTATCTTAGTTTTTAAAAATAATAAGTATTTGGGGTCAATTATTTTTAATAATCATGATAAATAAAATGAAACCAATACTTTTAGGTAGGCACATCGTCTCACCGACACTAACAAGTACTTTCTTTCATTTACTTTTACTTATCCGTTATTTTTAAAATAGATTTTCATTTTTATGACTTTTAACATATTAAAAAATTAAATACAATTTTTATATATTTCACACTTAGCAATAATTATTTATTTTCTAAATTATTATTTCTTAAGAGATGTACGACATTTAAAATGGACAAATAAAAATGAACGGAGAAATTAACAACCAACAATTTGTAGTGTAGGCATTTAGAAACGTCACTTTATTCTTCTCCCATCACACTGTTCAAAATGTCATGTTGGTCTAACTTTAGTTATCTAAAAATCCAACATAATTCACTGAACTCCTTTCTTGGTTAATCATCTATTTCAAAGTTTTTAAAATTATTTTGTTTAAGTTTCTTATAAATATATCCCAACTACCCCTTTTGATTTGTCTCTTGCTGGACAAAGAAAAATATTGTGAGCCCTTAACTAATTCCCTATACGAATGAGAGTAATTTTATATTGAAGAAAGGTGTTTTTTTGTTAGATTGAGTTTTAAACTCTTCAATTAATTTAGAGTTGTTTGAATTATACGATTTTGTTGAGCTCATGTTGTATTCTAGAGGGGATAAGTCAAGACTCAAGATATATACTGTTGGGTCGGTGTATGTTATGTTACAGTAGAGTTTAATTTCCTTAAAGAGAATAAGATATCCGCACCTCAATCTAAATGTTTTATTTATTTATTTTTTATCATTTTGTTTTTCAACTATAATTTGCTTTTATTTGTGATACATATACCAATATATTTTATTAATAGACGTGCAAACAAAAACATGACAAGTAAAATGATGCAAGAAAATATAAAACAAGCAATAAGTATTGATATAATTATGAATTATTTCATAAAAAATAATATATTATAAAGTTTAAATATTTTTAAACATACTAGGTATCAATTTTTCCCCTAAAAAAATCTTAAAAGAAAACAGTGAAAGTTGGCTAATTCCAACTATATATAGCTCAATAGCAAACTTGAAACTTCTATTATAGTTTTCTACTAGTCATGAAAATATGTAAAGCTATTTGATTGATAATATATAAATATATATAGTGATTCAAATAATACATCTCATATAAAAGGAAGTTCCAACAATATGTTACCTTGTATCAATATGTTTAGCTTACATCTCAAAATTAGTGTTTAAAAAGTTAGTATTAATTAATTTAAATATTTCACGCTCAAAACTCCTCCGACATGTATTGCATTGTGGTCCATTTAAATACACACAAATAGATTCTTTGTGGTCAAGATAGCTTTCTCTTCATGTTTTTGTACAAAATGTGTGGTTTCACTTCTTTGTGGATGGAATAATATATTCAATATGGGATCAGACAAAGACACAAGTTTAAGTTTCAACATCAGTAATATCAAGGTTTTCCTACTGTGATTTATTGAAAAATTTATGCTATAGAATATAAGTTTTCCATTCATTTTTACCGAATCAGTTCATTAAAAAAATGCAGGGTGAAAAATAAAATTCTGACTGAACTTGTGGGAAATTTCCTATTTTGTTTTTCATATGAAAACATTACTATTTTTCTTTTTTCACCAATTCTCAATCAAAATATCTGAGGGATAGCCACTGAACATTTTCCAATGAGAAATTATGTGGAAAAATAGTGATTTTTAAAAAGTGTCACATGCTTAGGTCATGAAAAAAATTCAGACTTGTATGTGAAAAAGAGTGTTAATTAAATTTCTCCTTAACCTTTTTCTATGAAATGATCATACTTCTCGTAAAATAGTTATTAGTACTTTCAAAGACCTCCTTTCAGATTTGACTTTGTAACACTATCCTCCTTTTGTGGTTTATAATGTTATATATACTTATCTCCTTTATTATATTTTTTCATAATAATTTTCTTACTTATATCTGATTAATACTAAACAATTATAATTGGACTAATTTACCTAACACTACTCTATTTTTAGGGGAAATATGCAGTTCTATGAAAGTTCCAAAATAAATCACTCATTGAATAATGATTTCATAGGAGGATTTAAAATTTCGAAGTTCTAAGTCTCAAGATAATATGGGCCAAAAAGGCCAAGAATGGGTTGAATTTAGAAGGATTTTTCCAAGGGAGGGGAAGGTTGTCAACCATCAATAAAATTCCGTCCTATATTAGTTGATTATTATACTAAATATAGTTATTTATATTAGTTGATCACCTTACTAAATCAAGAAATCATCAAAAAAAATTTTAAAATGTAATATCCTTGCAATTACTTCTTTTTGAAAGTGTTCACATTTGTTTGTAAAATTTTCAAGAAGTTTTTTTAGGGGTTAATTAGTAAAGTCATCTTTTTATTTATGATTTCTTAAGCATCGTGCAAAATGAAAAGTGATCAACTAATATGGGACGGAGGAAATAATAATAATGTACTCCGTCTCAATTAATGTGTGTCAATCGAAGTTTTGAGATTTAAATCGTTAAATTTTGATCGTAAATTTGGATATACAAATTTTAAGATTTACAAAATAAAATTGTATATTTAAAAGCTATGTAAAGAGTGAAGTACGGTAAATCATAATAATTAATAACTTAAATATTTAAAAGACATAAAAAAAATAATCAACAAAATTTAGTTAACTTTTGAAATTCCAACTATGTGATATAAATTGGAACAAAAGGAATAGTTTAGATGAATTATAAATAGATTGATATATCTTTAAATGGAGACGCAATAAAAGGATCTTAAAAATATTCAATGTTTATTTCTTTTGAAATTAGTATAAGTATTTGGACAAGCCATGATGCTATCGATGACCGCAAATTGTTGTTAAACCTAGTCAAGGTAATTATCTTAGTCTTTATAATTTTTGTTAATATTGATTTATGTTTATCGTTAATCAATATTTATTCTGAATCATTGATTTAGGGGTAAATGACATTTATTTATTGTCAAATTTCTTATAAAATTTTATTGAAGAAAAAAATTGAATAGTTAGGACCTGGAAAAAAATAGGCAAAACAAGGCTCTTGATACCAAGTTGAATGACTATAGAAATCCAAAGCAATTAAGATGTAACGAAAAAATCATAATATATATTTCAATAATAAAATAGTAGGATTTACAATTCAATAATTTTCTTTTACTTCCTGATACTGATATATTTTGTTTGATAAAAAGAGGTTGATATGTATCAATGTCATGTTTTATTCTTGAAATAAATATGCCAAGAAATTATTACTATGTTGTTTCTCTTTTGAAGAAGTTTAGAGATGAAGTTGTTCCCTAAGTTAAATTTTAATGATCACGCAAAATACAGACAAATTTACTAGTTATAATGTGACAACTGATAAGTTATGTTGTTTGGACTCCTTAAAAAATGTCGTGAGGGTACGTGTTGAATATTCAAAAGTAATATAATAACTAATTATGATTCATAATTCTGATTGAAAGCTGTGATTCATTACAATCAAATCTCAGAAAGCCTTGAGCTATGTATTATAGACATGTTTGCTAAGTCTATAACTAAATAACACAAAAGGTGTGTTTGATATCATATTTTCTCATGTTTGATTGTTCAAAACATATTCCTTTCATACCGAACACACCTAAAATCACTAACATTTCAGCAAAATAGTGAGTAGATATCATCTACCAACTATAACACTAATTGTGACATTGTTTGCAGAAAAATCCTGCTTCTCATTCCATGTTTCTGCATCTTCATGTTTTCTCATTGAGGTATATGTAGGTTGCCTAGGCAAGGGCAATCGTATATTGTCCGTCTCCAACATTAACACGATGGATGATATGCTCGGTCTGTGAACTGCCATGTCTTGTACACAAATTAGTGCTAACTGTATACATCTCAATGCTTCATCATGTTTACACTCGTCCCAAATAGAACGGTCTACTAAGTCCATTGGTGTACCTTCATCCCACTTCTGCCATGCCTAAAAAGAAAAACGTAGAATTGATGTTAAAAGATTTAACTTCACAACAGATATTGAAAAATAGTTATTGGACATACATAACCAATAATGCCAGAGTGTTCATTTGAACGAAAGCTTGTGTTCCTCCGTCCACAGATGATCTCCAGTAATAGTACACCAAAGCTATAAACATCAGATTTTCCGGAGAACAAGCCTTCCATTGCATATTCAGGAGCCATATATCCGCTGATTTAAGTAAAAACAAAAAAAGAAACGCGTTGATGGAGTTAGTTCTTTGAGCAAGCTAAAAGGTACTCACTCTTAAAGGTATAAAAATCAAATGATACTCACTATGTCCCAACTACTCTATTTGTATTTGCTTCATTTTCATTTCCACCAAATATCCTAGCCATACCAAAGTCTGAAATTTTCGGGTTCATCTCTTCATCTAGCAAAATGTTACTAGCCTTTAAATCCCTATGGATTATTCTGAGTCGCGAATCTCTATGGAGATACAATAGCCCTCGTGCAATCCCTTCAATAATGTTGAAGCGTTTCCTCCAGTCTAATTGAGCTTGCTTAACAGGATCTGTCAAAAAATTATCAACCAAAATAAATGTAAGTGATCGATCTCTCTATCGATGAAATAATTTGTAGCATATCTAGAGTACTAACCAAATAGAAATGAATCTAAACTTCTGTTGGCCATGTACTCGTAAAGAAGCATCTTTTCTTCTCCTTCAATGCAGCATCCCATAAGTCTAACAAGATTTCTATGTTGTAATTTGGCGATTAGCTTGATCTCATTCTTGAATTCCTCCACACCTTGTCCTGACTTTCTTGAAAGTCTCTTCACTGCAATTTCTACGCCACATAGTAGTTTTCCCTAAATAAACAAACATCGACGTTAGTTTAACACAATAATGTCATACTTCTCTAGAAAAGTAAGACACGCTTGTCAATTGAATGGAAACCAACCTTGTAGACAGGGCCAAATCCACCTTGTCCCAGCTTGTTTTCGTTAGAAAAGTTATCGGTAGCTGCTGCTACACCACTGAAACTGAAGAATATAAGTTCTGAACCACTTCCTTGATGTCCTTCAATACTCAAGTCTCCTGCTCCTGATGTGTTCATAGAAAACTCTCCGCTCCTAGTTGGATCGCTTGTCTCCATTTGGTTGATCCTATTGGACACTGAAAATGGGACATTGAAGATATAGGTATATTGCATAACAACAAATGACTGTCGTAAAACACCAGCCTTTCTGAAATCTTACCTCGCGTTTTGGCTTTGTACTTGCATAGTAGAAAAACTACCATACATACAAGAAAAGCCCCGGCTACCATAACGGATATTACCACAATTTTGACTGTCTTGTTGCTTCCAGCTGTTTCAAGAAAGTTTATAATAAGAACATCTAAAATGATTATATGAATACCAACAGAAAAGTTAGTACACATTTTTACCAAATTCAGAATTAGCAAGGCGAACATGGAGAGTGTTTCCGCCTTCCTGAAACTGCTGCATATCGACTAAATCTCCACTCCACATCATGCAATTGATTCCGCTAACAAAAGCATAAGCAGTACATGAACAATTTTCAAGGCACATGCTTCGACACTCATCGATATTTTGTAAATATGCAGTATCAGCAAAATCCGGCAACTTGATTTTCTCAATCTCAAAGAATCCGTCCTTCTTTCCACTAACACTCTTCACGACACTGTTATTTCCTCTGCATTCCAGTTCTTTCCTCCTAACACACCCTTCTGACCAGTTCCTCGCATTCCATTGCCCCAAATTTTTCGGTACAAATCCAACTAAACAAATGCATTTTTTCAAATATGTGACATCACATTTCGCGAAATTCCCACATAAGTTATACAAGTCACAATCACCTGATGGATGAGACTGTATTATACTCCAGTTTTCGTTATCTTTATCCCACCTTTGTTCCAGCTCGTATCCGGTTGGACTAATATGGAACCTCACCAAATCAGAAGAATCTGCAACAGTGTAAGTGAAGTATAACTTATCTCCTTCATTGTAAAGCTTGAAACCATGTAGATACTCGGGCTTCATATCTGTAACTCCTGTGAATATGTGTTACAATGAAAATGAAGAAGAACTTCAGGTCTACAAGGTGTAAACAATAGGAAATAGGAGCTGTAAATTGCAACAGAAAATCTGAAATTGAAGCAGAAGGCTTAAGTTTTCTTGAGTTCAATTTTTTTCACAAGATGTTTCATTACATATGGTGTATTTATAGATAAAGTGTGAGAATTACAACCACATAATAAGCAAAATATCTCACACCAAACTATGTACCTATGTGGCTCACTAACCACCACACATTTTAAATCAAGACCAACATATCTACTACAAAATATCTCCAACCTAGGAGTTTCTAGATAATTCTTACTTTTCTAACATATCTAGTACAAAAATATCTCCAATCTAGAAGTTTCTAGACAAATCTTAATTTTCTAACACTCCTCCTTAAGATTTTTCATTGAAACTCCTTGCAACAACCTTTGAAACTCAAACTTCTTAGTGGAAAGAGCCTTGGTCAGAATATCAGCCTGTTGATCGTCACTGATGCAATGTACCAACTTAACTTCACCATTCTTCTCCGCATCTCTTAAAGCATGAAACCTTATGTTGATATGCTTTGTTCTTCCATGCTGCCCCGGATTTTCAGCCATCGCAATGGCTGATTTATTGTCCACATAGATCACTGTTGGTTCTTTTGGCAACAAATTCAATTCCAACAAGATCTTTCTTAACCAAATTGCTTGATTTGTAGCAGATGCAGCAGCCACATACTCGGCTTCTGCTGAAGATTGTGCTACAATATCTTGCTTCTTTGTGCTCCAAGAAAAAATGCCTGAACCAAACGAAAAACAGTAACCAGAAGTGCTTTTGTAATCATCCAAACATCCACCCCAATAACTATCTGAATAGCCAATAAGAGATCCATTCTCCACATTTCTATACCAGATTCCATAATTAATCGTCCCTCTAATGTACCTTAACACCCTTTTAGCGGCTCCAAAATGCTTAGTGCTGGGACTTTGCATATATCGAGATAACAAACTGACAGCGAACATTATGTCTGGCCTAGAAGCTGTTAGATACAATAGACTTCCAATTAGACTTCTATAAACTTTTGGATCTGCCCTCTCTTCGCCATCATCCTTCATTAATTTTTCATTCACAACAAGTGGAGTTGCAACAGCTTTGCACTTGTCAAGCTTGAACCTTTTTAACAGATTCAAGGCATACCTCTTTTGGGACAAGAAAATTCCTTCACAAGATTGAGATATCTCCATTCCCAGGAAAAACTTCATTTCTCCTAGATCGGACATCTCAAAAACTTTTAGCATTTCATTTTCAACTTCTTGAACTGCAAGAGGATTTTCACCTGTAATCATCAAATCATCGACATAAACTGATATCATAATCAACATCCCATCCGCTTGTCTTTTGAAGTACAAAGTAGGCTCATTTAGGCTTCTGTTGAAGCCTTGTGACAGCAAATGAGAATCCAGCCTACTATACCAAGCTCTTGGGGCTTGTTTAAGACCATAGAGAGCCCTTTTAAGCTTGTACACCTTGTCTTCTTCACCTGCAACTGTAAAACCTTCAGGTTGTTCAACATAAATGTCTTCCTCAAGCACTCCGTTGAGAAATGCAGATTTTACATCCAAATGGAAGATTTTCCACTTGTATTGTGCTGCGAGAGCGACTAGAAATCTTACTGTCTCATGCCGTGCAACAGGAGCAAACGTTTCTCCAAAGTCCACTCCAGGCTGCTGAGAATAGCCTTTAACTACAAGTCTAGCTTTATGCTTGAAGATGGAGCCATCTGGATTGAACTTTGTTCGATAGACCCATTTGACACTGATAACATTCTTCTTTTCTGGCCTATCAACCAACTCCCAAGTATCATTTTTATTAATCATGGCAAGTTCCTCCTTCATTGCTGAAATCCACACTTTGTGGTTTGCTGCTTCTTCAAATGAGGATGGTTCAACAAGAGCAAAATTGCATTGCTCATAAACTTCTGCTAGTGATTTGGTCTTCAAAACAGGAGAGTCTGTAGTCAATTCAACATCTGAATTGTTTTTTGTTCCAGAAATAGGACTAGAGGGAGTATCACCTTTTTGCTGATGTGGAGTTTCAGCTGAAGTATTCCCACCTTGGTTCTTCACAACAATATCTCGATCCCAATCATAGTGGCTAGACTCATCCACTATAAGATCTCTACTAACAAACACCTTCTTACTACTAACATTGTACACTTTGTATCCTTTTGCAACTGTACTATAGCCCAACAGAACACACAGTTCTGCCTTGCTATCTAATTTGCCTCTTTTAGCATCAGGAACATGTGCATAGCATACCGAACCAAATACCTTCAAGTGTCTTGCAGACGGCTTGATACCCTTCCATGCTTCAAATGGTGTCATGTCTTGGACTGCTCTAGTTGGTAATCTATTTAGCAAATAGACAGCGGTATTGACTGCTTCAGCCCAAAAGTATTTAGGCATCTTCTTTTCTGCCAACATGCATCTCGCCATCTCCATTACAGTTCTATTCTTCCTCTCAGTAACCCCGTTCTGCTGTGGAGTGTAGCTAACAGTGAATTGTTGTTGGATACCCAAATCTTTACAATACTTGCTGAACTGATACGAAGTATATTCAGTTCCATTATCGGATCTAATATACTTCAATTTACAGCCACTCTCCCTTTCTACCATAGCTTTGAATTCTTTGAAAACAGAAAACACTTGATATTTGCTACTAAGAAAGTAGACCCATGTCATTCGAGTCAGATCATCTACAAAGAGAACAAAATACTTGTTTCCACTCAAAGAAGCCGTCCTCATTGGTCCACATAAATCTGTATGAACCAACTCTAGCTTTTCCTTAGCTCTCCAAAGACTTCCTTTAGGAAAGGATCGTCTACGCATTTTACCAAATTGACATGACTCACAAACATCTCTACACATGTCAATTTTGGGTACTTCAAGCACCATACCCTTTGATTGCATATACACCAGTGAGCTAAGATTATAATGACCGAACCTTTTGTGCCAAAGCCAAGTATCACTCAATTCAATATTAAAAGAGCAAGTATCAATAGAATAGCATGAAATTGGAAAGGAATTGTCAATCATGCTAATTTTAGCTACTTTACATCCTTTAGGATCATGAATGACACATTGTTTATCCTTAAAATTAAGAGAATAATTTTTATGAAGTAATTGAGCAACACTTAACAAGTTTTGTGTCAAATTTGGCACATAAAGAACATCATTAATAATTTTCGTACCTTCGTCAATAGGAAATTTTACTGACCCTCTACCGTGAGCTTCCACCAATGCGCCATTTCCAAGCTTCACTTTGGTTCTATCAGATCTGTCCAAGGAAACAAACAGATTTTCATCAATTGCCATGTGCCTTGTGCACGCGCTATCAATATACCATTTACATTGGTCAATATGTGATGTGTGCGAGGCCATGAAAACCTCCTCCTCTGATTTTCCAACTTGGTGATCATCTGCGAAATTCACTCGATGGGAAGACTGGCCACTTTGATTTTGCTTTTGCCTACAATACTTCTCAATGTGACCATACTTCTTACAATATCTACATTGAATTGGAGACCTCTTTGAATTCTGCCAACAATTCTTCTCTAAGTGGTTTGTCTTCTTACAAATGCCACAAGGTGGAAATTTTCCTTTTATCGACAAATCACCTTGGTTTCCACCAGATTTTACCTCTCCAGATTTATCCAACCAGACTTTTCTGTTTTCCTTTTGAAGTTTGAATTTATGCCTTGCTTGAAAGGCATCTTCCACTATCCCTTCACTTCTCATACTGACCCGTTGCTCTTGGACTTGCAATTTGGAGATTAGTTCGGCTATTGTAAGAGTAGTCAAGTCACAAGACTCTTCAATAGCTGAGATTTTTGATTCAAACTTGTCTGGAAGGCTGACCAAGATCTTCTCTACAACTTTCTGATCTGGAAAGGTTTCACCAAGTATTCTTATCTGGTTCACAATCTCCATCAGCTTTGAAGAGTATTCTTTCACACTATCTGAGTCTTTCATCTTCAAAAGCTCAAACTCTCTCTTCAATGCTAAGAGTCTAACAGACTTTACTCTACTGCTGCCTTCAAACTCCTCCTTTAACTTATCCCAAGCCTCTTTGGCTGTTTCACAAGTCATAATCCTCGTAAACATCACATCCGTAAGACTTGAATGTATGCAGGTGAGAGCTCGTGGGGATCTAGTCACCAACTCATCATACTTCTTAATTTCATTGAGAGTTGCATTAACTCTCAATGGCTGGACAGCAGGTTCTCCAAGCTCAACAACTTCCCATAAGTTGAGAGCCTTTAGATAAGCCTTCATTTTGATAGCCCATATGTGATAATTCTCTCCGGTAAAAGTCGGAGGACCTGTCGTTGGTTGATTTTCAGGTGCCATGAATTTTTTTTCAGCAAGCAAATTCAAGAAAGAACAGAAAGTAGATGAGCGAAACAAACAAAATTTGATTCAGATCCCTTAGGAACCTGGCTCTGATACCATGTTACAATGAAAATGAAGAAGAACTTCAGGTCTACAAGGTGTAAACAATAGGAAATAGGAGCTGTAAATTGCAACAGAAAATCTGAAATTGAAGCAGAAGGCTTAAGTTTTCTTGAGTTCAATTTTTTTCACAAGATGTTTCATTACATATGGTGTATTTATAGATAAAGTGTGAGAATTACAACCACATAATAAGCAAAATATCTCACACCAAACTATGTACCTATGTGGCTCACTAACCACCACACATTTTAAATCAAGACCAACATATCTACTACAAAATATCTCCAACCTAGGAGTTTCTAGATAATTCTTACTTTTCTAACATATCTAGTACAAAAATATCTCCAATCTAGAAGTTTCTAGACAAATCTTAATTTTCTAACAATATGCGTCCATCCCAGTATCCACTCCGCCAACGTCTCTTCTCTCCATCCAAGATCACAATTTGTGGTGATCCACGAGTATTTACTCCTAATGAGTACCTGTTAGAAACGTAATTAAGTAAATAAAAACATGTTCTTTGACTTTGGGATGTCACAAATGCAACATTGTATCCGAACAGACATAGTTCTTAGGTTCGAATCTCACTGCCATCCAATATGAAGGATTCAAGAAGCACATGAGAGGTTGTGTTAAAAACAAAAGTAAGTTATGAAACACATGTTTTCAACTTAATCTATTGGATAAGATGTCACAAATGCATTACCATATTAGTGCAAGTAGAGTTCTAAGTTTCGAGTCTCACTATCACCCAATATCAAAGATTCAAGAAACCGTGAGGGGTCGTGTTAAAAACAAAATTAAGTAAAGAAAAACATGTTTTCAACTTAATCTTTTCGATGAGATGTCACAAATGCATTACCATATCAGGGCAAGCAAAGTTCGTAGGTTCGAGTCTCCCTACCACCCAATATCAAAAAATCATTACCTTTAATCTATAAAAAGGGGACTGCTACTCACAACTACTAGCTATCCATCCAGCCCACGAAAGTGAAGGATAAAAAAAAATAATATTGAATGAGGTCATTAACATTGAATCGTCATAATGAAATCAAATAGTCCGGGACTGATCAACAACCCTTCTGTTTTTCAACTTTCCACGAGTCAAACACGTGAGAGGTTGTGTTCAAAACAAAATTACGTAAAATAAAAAAGCACATTCTCAATTAAGCTTTTAAATGAGATGTCACAAACGCAACATGCTATCAGAGAGTCTCACCACCACACATTATATAAAAAATTCAAACCAAACGTGAGGGGGCATGTACAAAACAAAATTAAGTAAATAAAAGATTTCAGATAAGATGATCACACGATACAAGATTACGTACCGTCCAGGTGAAGGATCACTTTCACTAGTCCATGACCTCAAAACTTCATCCAAATAAAATCTCATTTCTGGTAAAAATGTATCTGTAGGATGCTGAAAACTCTGCCACAACTCCTTGTTATTGCCATTAAACATCCTAAGATTTCCATTATCAGAAAGATGTGCTGTACAATTATTATTCATTGCAGTAACATTATTCGTCCACATTAAATCGCCACGACCATTTTTCACCACTAAATTCCCATTTTTCTCAATAGTAAAAACACCATTTTTATCAAAAATTGGTTTATCTCTGTTTGCAATCCAAACAAATGAATTTTTTGGACCATCAACATACCATATACCAACAAACCTTTGATTATTAGAAGCATTTGGACTAAAAAATCCCAAATTAAATTTCCTTTTTGGAGAAATTAACATATCACCATCTCTTAAAATTTCCCCTTGACTAATTTTAGATGTACAAGTACAACATAGTAAGTTGATATAAAAAACACTAAACAAGAAAATATACCAGTTGGAAATAATGATACAACTAGCCATTTCAAGATTGCAAAATTAAAAAAAAAAAAATTGTGATCGAAAGAAGAAGAAGAAAAAAAAAATTGTAGCATATAAAGAAAAAAGAAAAAATTGATGGCTAATTTTGGTAGGCTATGTATGAATTTAATGAAAAAGCCTAGAGAAAGATTGACTTGGCAAAAACAAAATGAGATTTTGTATGTAGTTGAAAAATCTTGATGACCAACTTTCCTTATAACCCACAAGTGCACTTTTGGAATTTATTAAAAAAATATATATTAAAATAGATCGTATAAATAAATAAAATTGACCATATTTTAACATGTGATTTAAGACGTTAGTTGCCATTTTTTTTAAGGTTAATTGTAGTACACTTTTACTTGTGAATTTTTGCTTCTAATTATCTTTTAAGTGATCTGATTTTTATTTTTTTTAAAGATTGTGTGGTTTTTATTTTATTGCACACAAAAGTCTTTTTTTTTTTTTTTTTGTAATATAAAAAGATTATTCAACGTTGTTTAAGTATAAAAAATTGTTACTAAATTATTTTTCGTAGGAAATAAAAGAAAATTTAAAATCACAACAAGATACTAAAAAACTCGATTTTGTAAGATAATTGGCTTTTTATGTAAGTATAATATAAGACGTTTCTTTTTTTTTTCTTCGTAATAACATTCGTTGAAATTGTGACTTTTTTATTGTTACAAAGAATAACTTGTTGACTTTAATATTACTTTAAAATTAAAATTGAATGACCATCTATAAAATGAATTTAATTATCTGATTATATAAAATAGTAAATTTTGTATATATTATTGGTATATAGAAGTTAATATGAAAGATGAGTCATCAGGTCAAATATGAGGGACATAGATTTTATGCACTTTAATATCAACTAGTACTATTTTAACCAAGAAAAAATAAAAGGGGGTCAACTACTATTATTATTCTTAAAACGATCTTGCAGACAAAAATAGATGACCACGTGTTAATTTCAATTTTCGTAAAAATAAAGTAAAATGCGTTTCACATAATTGAACCTTTTTTTTTTCTCCTACCGTCCTTCCCCATTGAACAAATAATGACTAGATACAGACGCTTTATCTAATGATATAAATTCATCTAAAAAAAATTAATTAAAGAGTTATTTAAATATAGAAGATTTGATATCTAGTTATTCTGAATTTTGGGAAGAAAATATTTTCTAGATTTTTTTTGTTTCAAATTATTTATTGTATTTCTATTTTAATGTTCTTTAAATAAAAATACTAATGATGAGGTTTTCTTTTATTATTTTACCTTATTTGTATTTTAAGACAGAATTTTTTTTTGTTAAATATTTACTTTATTGAGAGCGAAAGCAAATTCAGGAGCTTAAGTCTATTGATTCAACATTTAAAAGTTTCAAAAGAAGATGAGTTGAAGTATGGTGTGATTTACCCCTTGTATAAAATTATCGTTGCAAGATGTTTTAAGCTAAGGTCGATCTCATATCTGAATTTACTCTAAAATATAGTTCAAATCACATCAATCTCTCTCGGATTTTGTAATAGACTCATCTCGGTGTTTTCAATGACTTCAACTTCCACTTAAAAAAATGGAATAAATTTATAATTAACCTAGTAACTCGTAAATAAAATTGTTAGGCTAATTGCTAGTATATATTTTCTAATAGTTGTATTTATTCTAACGTGATATTATAATCAGTGGAAACGCCGTTTACTTTAGTCTTGATCTTCCTTTTTTTTTTTTGCTCATAATTATTCTTACAAAATAATCTATTAGCAACTTGGAATGATTGTGTTTTTAGTTTCTTTTTTTCTACACGTAATTTGTCAGTCAAAAACTAGAGTTCACATTGAATATCATATGACTTGCTGTTGATAAATTAATTATGTTCTGAAAGTGACATTTATTTTCATACTTTTTATTTTATTTTCTTGAAGTTGATTGGCTGAAGATGTTGATCTACACAAAATTCTATGTTACATTTGATTATGCTCGATTGACTATATGATTTGTTGCATGCATTACATAATTTCTAAGAAGAAGTTTGTTTTTAAAAAATATCCTTAGGATTTGAATTTTCTTTTAACATAAGAATGTAGGTATCTTATTGGTAGAATTTTTATTAGAAAGAAACCTCATAACTATTACTAACGATTTATCTATATCAAGTCAAAAGCTAGAAATTAAAGATAAGAAGGGTGTGTTTTATAAGAAACGAGCATCATATATTTTTTGTAATTTGCCCTTTTATCAAGTCTACTAGATAGAAGATGATAGAGGGCCAACTATCGTTGCCTTGCACGGAAATTATATATGTCTAGCCAGTTCCAAGCATTCTTTTTTACCTAAAAGGACGTTTAACTCATTATATAGATTGTCAGCGTATTGTTTTTTTACTCGTAACTTCAGTTTAAATTTATTATTCTTAAAGGAGCCAACAATAAAAATTAGGGATTTAACATAATTCAATGACTTAGCCCAAATTGTAAGAAGTATTCAAAATCCGGAAACTTAAATTACTTAGATTCGTCTTTTCAAAGGAGAAGACATTAGGGTAAGCGCACAAATAGTTGATTTTTGAGATTACAATTTAAGTCACATTATTATTCGTAGTATATTAAATTTACAAATTTAGCTACATAAATCGCATATATCTAAAGTTCAGTTGAATAAATATTTGTTAATAAGCTTAAATTTGAAACATCGTACAAACCCTTTTTAAAAAGAAACAGCAACATTGACAACTTGTTTAATTTTATCTGATATTTGCCAAAATTGATATAAATCAAGGACATGTCATCCTTCTCATTCTCCTAAGAAAGTAAATCGCGATGAAAGAATTTCACCATTCAATAAAAAAGGGGACATATTTTCTAAAAATGAGTAAATATAAAACAGTACTAGTGTCCAAAAAGGGAACGTTATCAATTTTTTCACAATTACATTTACGTGCTACACATCTACATTTACTCAAACAACATTATATTTCAAGGTCGTACAATTGTACATTAAATTTATCTATTGTCTAAATATTTCATTTCTTTTTCTTCTTTTTTTGTGAAATAATCTTACTTTCTGAAAATCTAAACTTACTTCCATTTTTTAGCTTATGTTCTCATCTGATCGATTAATCTTGAAATTATAATTAACCTATCGATTAACCTACTTTTTGTGTATATTAAATACAAATGAATTAAATGTTTGAGTCACCCGTTTGTCACTCCTAATTACAAGGCTCATGAAACGTGTGTTGTGTGAATATATGAGTAGTATTATATTGGTACAATGCTTGTGGTTATGAATTGATGACAAAACAGTGAAGTAACACATGTTTTGTTATATATATACAAATGTCAAATTGCCTTGTAAGTTAAGGCCTAATTTAAGGGGCATATATACACGTGACGTGCTACATGGGCCGCACCGACCCGGTTTTTTTTGGACAACATGCCCCCAAATATCCAAGTAGAGAATTATACCAGGACTGGGAACCTAAATAAGCCACAAAAACATAAAGTGATCAAAATAAGCCACTACTTTAGGAAGTAACTAAAATAGGCTTAGTGGAAGAAAAAATTCCACTTTATCTAATATTCTAAACGTTTTCCATTAGTCTCATACCGTGTATATTTTAATATATAACGAAATTATTTTCTACACTTTATAAAATGGAACTATTTCTTACACTTTATAAAGTGGAACTTTTTCTTACACTTTATAAAGTGGAAGAAAATCTTACACTTTACAAAGTGGAAGAGAAAATTCCACTTTACAAAGAGGAATATTTTCACGTTTTTATCTCTTTTGCAGTGTTTGTCATACAATTATATTGATTTGACATATCATAAAAACGGAAAAAATTATTACACTATGTATTTTTATTTTTTTATTCTGAAAAATCCTCCAATCTCTATTTAAGGAGGACGTTCAAACATTAACTGGTAGCACCTACAACATACTTTCTATATTTGTTCATTTCAATCTCAAAAAAAAAAAATGTCTTCTAAACCAAAAGTTAGAGTTTTGATTTATTGGGATGGCAAAATTATACATGATGAAAATACCGTTTATTATAAATGTCCTCCCAAACACAATGCTAAATATTCAATTAATGTCTGATATCATAAATTTCTTTCATCAATTTATAAAAGAATGGGTATAAACAGTACTGTTTATAATTTGATTATAGTCGTAAAATACCCTACTTCATTTTTATCACAAGGACAAGTAAATTTTGGAGAGTGGATTATCTATAATGACGAATCGTTGACCGACTTTTTGAGGGTTCCAGATGACTACATAGATCAAATCAAGTTAACAATACTTGAAATCTATGTTAGGAAGGAGTCTAAGACTAGTCAACAACGTTCTCCTTTATCGGTCAATGTCCATCCACTTTATAAAAAGTGTAATAAAAAGTTCCACTTTATAAAGTGTAAGAAATAGTTCCATTTTATAAAGTGTAGAAAATCATTCCGTTATATATTAAAATATACACGTTATGAGACTAACGGAAAACGTTTAGAATATTAGATAAAGTGGAATTTTTTCTTCCACTAAGCCTATTTTAGTTACTTCCTAAAGTAGTGGCTTATTTTGGTCACTTCTATGTTTTTGTGGCTTATTTAGGTTCCCAGTCCATTATACCACCACCACCCAAAAAAAAAAAAAAAACAAGAAAATGATCACACTACATAATTAATTCCCAAATTGGCATTGTTAAGAAAAACTTTTGGAAAAAGTGATACCGCATGGATGGAGGAAACTTTATGTTCTCTATGATGTAAAAGGTGTTGTAGATGTATTAAAAATGTGGAGACTATTTAGGATATAGATATAATTTGTGAAGATATTTGAAATATGTCTGCATCTCTAGAGCATATTGTGTTTGTACATATTTTTAGAAGATTTAATGTTATAGGTTATAACGTAGCTAAATTCTCAATTTCTTTGTTGCCTGAGTTTTTTTGAGAAAGACTATTATCAAGTTGAATTGTAAATAATGTTGAACT